GCGACTCATCTTCCATCTGGTCAAGTAATGAATTTAATCACTTCATTTGGAGAGAAACTCCATGAGATGTTTTTGAGTCCCTCTTGGAAGCTTCCTAGAATCTTAAACCCCAAAGTGTCAGTGTAGCAGTTGTGCTGCTGGTCTAGAACTGAAAGAATTGTTGTTGTGCTTACTTCTACCATCTGGTGTATTTATATCAGATTAAGAACAGCTTTGAAGACAAGGTAGATCTGAAAGCCTAGGTGAGTCTTTCCTGAACACCAGGATTTATACAGATTTATACAATGAACCAAGGATGTCAGTGTACTTGCTAGGGACTGCGTAAGGATTATAGCTTGCACAGACACTAGTTTTAGGAGCAGGGATAAGTGGTACTGGTAAAGGGACTGCTTTTATCCAAGGAACTTGAGAATTTTCCAGGTGGTCTTCTGAACAGAGAGACAAGTTATTTTTAAGGAGGAGGCATTAAATCACCAGAGTCGCTTTAAGAGGTTACCAGATTAGCTTAGCCTGGATGGCTCCTGTTCCTTTCTCAGATCTATGAGACTTTGAATACCAAGATGTGAATTAATGTTAAAACTTCTTTGGACTGCTCTGTGTACTTAGTACCCCACAGATTTCCATACATGTTGTTCGGGAACTCTGGCAAAGTTTGATCAGTTTGCTTCTATCCTAGCAAGGTTTGCTTAAAATCTGTTTTGGTTTTCTCCTGAACATTGACTTTCAGAGTGGCTTTGATAGAAGATGTCAACCGGATGTCACCTAATGCCTTGGCCATCGTTTTTGCTCCATGCCTTTTGCGTTGTCCAGATACTTCTGACCCTTTAACCAGCATGAAAGACGTTTCAAAAACAACCATGTAAGTTTTAGCAGCCTGCTGCAAAGTAGTACTTTGAAATATGATGGAAGGCCATTTGTATTTGTTACAAGCTTATTCATATCAATCTGAGAAACTCTGGGTTAAGACTTGCTAAATTCTGGCTCTGATAGTGCTGTCCATTTGCACACCCTTCTCCAAGTCTTTCCACCTGTCTCATGTTTACAAAGGATAAAGTAGGATGACTTGTGTCTTAAATAGCAGGTTTGTATTTTACATCAAGGTAATCTTTTGTGGGGATTGTATACTAATCATACATATTTTCTGAGACACAAGCCATAATAAACAGTAGGATATAGAATTAAACTGCCTCCTGCATATTTGGAACCCCCTGATTATTTCTTCTGTGTTGTTCCTCGAATTGAAGAAGGTTCAGTCCTTTGGCCTCTTTGATCTCCTCTCACCCTCTGGCTCTCTGAATGCTCCTCGCCATCCTCACTGCATGGCTGGCCTTGTGTCTGCCTCCAGTGAAAACAAAGTTTGAAAAACTGCAGCTTCTTGTAACTTCTTCCTGACCCTTGGGGCCACAGAGGTGGAAAAGGGCAGTTGCAGGGTCATTCTGTATCTGCCACTCTGTGGCAGCACAGGGAAGATGGGCAGAAGAAGCAGTTAGCAGGCATGGTAATATCTGTTCACTTACCACTGTAGTGTACAGTCAGCACGAGAGGCTCTTGTTATCCCAGGAAGACCATGTGCCAGTGTCTTCAACAGTCTGTCCTGTTTTGCTTTATGTGTTGGTCTCTTCAACCTGTTCCCATGCCACTGGGACACTTTGACTGCATGTCATCCGTGTGCATGTGTGGCAAACATCCCCAAGCCTGGAGAGGTATCTCATCCCACTGTCATTGTCTCCAGAGCCTTTAGAGAAAGAGGCAGCTCAGTAAGGTCTTGCCCTTTTCTCCAGGTGTGTAGAGATGCTCATAAAGGAACAGATAAGGAAGTACAAGATAAAAATGGAGGAAATCAATCAGCTAGAAGCGGCCGAGAGCATTGCTTTTCGACGTCTCTCCTTGCTTCGGCAGAACATGGTAAGTGTTAAAACAAACCACCAAGCCACACCATCCAGCAGAAAGCATCTCGCCAGTTTCTTAGGAAGGGATATGTTAGTTGTTCTGTCCATCCCATTCACTAAGTCAAAGATCAGTTGCAAGAAAATAATGGATTTGGACTTACCCAAAGCCATAGATAGGAGCTAAATATACAGCTTCATTGTAGTCTGCTTGGTGAATGAAGGGTGCAGGGGTGGGGAGTCACTCTTGTGGTCAAAATGACTCAGTAGAACTAAGATTGCTGAGCCTTTTACATGGCAAAGGAGATCCTTCACTCCAGAGGTGGATAGTGGACAAAAATATGGTGTGTTTTAATAGGGCAGATATGTGTGTTCTTTTGGTTTTGTTGTATTGATTTAAACTAAACCAAACTCTGATCAGAAGCCTCATATAGTGAATTTGGTCTTGATCTCTCCCTAGTTGTGGCCTGTAAAACTTGGGTTTTCTTCCCCTTATGAGGGGATGCTGGTATGTACACTGCCTGTGTTAAGAATGCATGTGTTGGGGTGTTTTTTTCCATATGGTACTACTGCATGACTAAAATACTTACTACATATATTGCCACTTGGTTTTAAATACTCTTGAACAATCAAGACTGCATGTATTGGTGCCACTTTCTTCCCAGCCTGCATGCAGGGCTGCTGACCTGTTCTGTCATAGACATTCTGAATGTAACATGTATTCAATATTACTTGTAAGTGACTACTAAAACTAATCTGAGGCTGGCAAATCAAATTGCTATGCTTAAAGAGAACAAACCCCCAGGAGTCACGTGAACAGGAAAATTTCTGTTGCTTTTTGAGGCATTTGTATGGATAACTAACAACTCTCCATCAATTCCATCAGCCTTTCATTTGGGCTACTCATGTGTCTTCCACCTTGCAACTAGTAGACAGTCAAGACTTGTATAGCTTCTTATGACTTATGAGAAGTGTTACATGTAAATTTGTCTTGCAGAGTAAAAGCTCACAGGTCAAAGGCAGTGACAGTGACAACTTAGAACTGGACTTGCTGCATGAAGAGGAGGACGTTTCTGAAGCAGATAACCGGGAAAAGGAGATTCTCATCAATCGCATACAGTCAATAAAAGAAGAAAAGTAAGTGACCCTTTACCTCTGCAGAGCATGCCCTGTGCCCTTGGAGGTAATACAGATAGTAAAGCAGGATATCTTTTCTCCCAAATGATCCAGTTAATTTTGTTCTATAGGCCTTTATGAAGGGGAAAAGGAAAGTACAAAGCACTAACTGAGAGGAAAACCCATGAGAATTAATATGTAGTGACTGCATGTTGGCAGGTTTACCTCTGAGCATGAGCTGCATGAAGTTGCTTGTATCAGAGACACTGCCTTTAGAGTGCTACAATCTCTGTTTTGATGCAGGGAAGATATAACTTACCGGTTACCTGAGCTCGATCAGCGAGGCTCTGATGAGGAGAATGTAGACTCTGAGACCTCAGCGAGCACAGAGAGCTTGCTTGAAGATCGAGCAGGGCGGACGGATACCGAAGGTCAGTATTAAGGTAGTGTGTGCTTTTTTTATTCTCCATCTTTCACCACATGAAGCCAGGTGACCAGATGCTGTCTGATCACAATTGCTTGCATCAAGTTACATGCTTTTAGTTGCTAAAGGATTTTGTTCCCTTAAAGCAGTTACTGGATTACACTGCCATACTCAGAGCTCCAGTAAGCCTGCCAAAGACATTTGCAAAGTGCCTTCTCTTTTACAAACCTCTTCAAATTCTCTCTCTGCATCCCTGCCTTCAAGACACAGATCATCTTTAACACTGTCCAGGCTTAAAGTGCCCCGTCGAACTCCAGTCATACCAACAGCAAATATAAAGCTCCCTCCCGGCCTTTTCAAGTGTACAGAATCCCAGGGCAGGATTTCAGCCAACGAAGAGCCTCAGCTGCCGGTGAGACGAAGGGAGCAGCCAGCGAGGCGAACTGATCAAATCCACTCGGTGTACATTGCACAAGGGTCTGCCACGGCCCATGCTCAGGAACTCTTGGATGACTACGAACCAACAGCGAAGGTCAAACGGAGGTTTTCGGATCCGTACTCTCACGCTCCCTGTATAGAGAAGTGAAAGATGCTCTCTGGACTTCTTTGAAGTCGACTGCAGCCTTGGCTTTAACCCTTTGGAGGCTGTGACCTTGTTTTACATGGCTGCTGGGAAGGTGGCCTGGAAATAGACAGTACTGTAAGGGTTAAACAAGGTTGTTTCAAAAGAATACTCCTCACTTTTAAGTTAAAACCCTGCAGTGAAAGTAGAACCAGTGAGTAAAATACATGGGTTGAGTGTACAGCAAAAGTCCCCGGGCTCTGCTGCCGTGCCTGTTTCCATTTGCCTTACAACGGACTCCAGTGGGACCAACAGTGAGTTTGGGTCAGTGTGTGTTGCCTTGATTTTGTATGGTTTTATAACAACTTTCTGTGTGGTTTACAGAACTGTTCATGTTGTAATAGTCTTAACTGAGACCAAACTATATAAAAACGTTTATTAATACATTGCACTTTTAAAGTTACACGTGTTAGGTTATTGATGCCTGTCTCATCTGATGAACCAGTTCTTCTGAAGGAGGCTCTGAAGTGCATTTATGCAGTACAGCCCCAGAGGGCAAGGTGCCACCATACAGAAAGTGTTTTGGCTCTGCACCAGCCCTCCATGGCATTGCTGTGAAATCCATGCTCTGTCTACCCTGCTCCATGTTGGAGTATGCCAGGAGCGTGTGCTTGAGCCCAGAAACCAGCACTGGGAGGGGATCCTGCCCCTCTGCTGCGCTCTGGGGAGACTCCCCCCCTGCAGCCCTGATCCAGTTCTGGGGCAGCAGCACAAGGGGGATGTGAAGCTGCTGGAGCCAGGCTGAGAGAGCTGGGCTGGGGCAGCCTGGAGAAGAGAAGGCTCCTGAAGGGGAGACCTGAGAGCAGCTCCAGTGCCTAAAGGGGCTGCAGGAAACCTGGAGAGGGGCTTGGGACAAGGGCCTGTAGGGACAGGCCAAGGGGAATGGCTTGAACCTGCCCGAGGGGAGACTGAGCTGAGCTCTGAGGCAGAAGCTCTTCCCTGGGAGGGTGCTGAGCGCCCGCCCAGCGCTGCCCGTGCCCCGCCCCAAAATGGCGCCCGCCCCCTGGAAGTGGCTCTGAAGCCGCTTCCGGTAGCGGCCGGTGGCGATGGCGGCGACGCGGCTGGAGCTGAACCTGATGCGGCTCCTGAGCCGGTGCGAGGCGCTGGCGGCGGAGCGGCGGGACCCCGAGGAGTGGCGGCTGGAGAAGGTGAGGTTGGGACCCGGCACGGCGGGGGGGAGCCCGGCCGCGGGGGTTCGGTTCGGCTCGGCTCCTCGACTGCGGCAGTGAGCGCTATGGAGGGATGGAAGCGCGGGCTCGCTCTCCGCCCTGGCAGCCTCTGCCTGACAGAGTGTTTCGCCTTAATGTCGTCGCTTAAAAGCTTTCTCCTTCCTCAGTACGTGGCTGCTCTCGAGGACATGCTCCGGGAGCTGAAGCAGCAGAGCAGGTGAGCCGCGCTCTGACCTGGTCGGGGGGAGGCTCTCTTGTGGGCTCGTTGTTAAAACCGCTTCTTTAAGAGCCATTTATAGGGGCTTTTCTTCCACTGATTTTATTGGGAAAATAGCCTGAACGATAAGAAATTCTGATAACTTTGGGTTTTCATGTGACTGTTTTCATTGCTGATAGCAAGCCAGCCCCCGAGCTGCTGAATGAATACTCTCGCAAAGTGGACTTCCTGAAGGGGCTTTTAGAAGCTGAAAAACTGGTAAGATTGACTAGTTTGGATTGTAAAAACCTGTATTCTCTGTTTATGGCTACCCTGTTGCCTTTATTTTATGTTTCAAAGTAACTTAATAAAATCTTTGCAGGCAGCCTTTGTGAAAATGTGAATGAATAGGTTGCATTTTTGCCTTTAGTTAGAAAGGAGCTGTGGTATGAAAGGAGAAACTTGTTTCCTCTTTGAAAGCAAAGTACATCTTCCCTACATCCTTCTCGCCTCTTTGGTGTGCGGTGCAGGGGCAGGTACTGTCCTTGAGGCCTGACCCCTGCTTTGAATGGTACCACGGCCATCAGGCAGGCCCTGGGGTGCCAGCAAGCTGTGCTGCAGTCAGTGCAGGTCCAGGCAGAGCTCATTGTGGACAGCAGCTGGGAAGGGCTCCCCACATCCTTGTGGTCTTCCCCCCCACAGTGGCCTCATGCTGCAGAATGTGCTGTTCATTGACTTTGCCTTGCTTCTTCCTATCGCAGCCTTCCTCAACTGAAAAGGCCCTGGCAAATCAGTTCCTGGCCCCTGGCCGCACCCCTACAACAACGAAAGAGAGAACCCCAGCTACCAAAAGAGTTCATCTGCAAACAAAGGCTCGTTGCACAGGCAAAATGAGGAGTGAGCTGCTTGGTACAGTATGTTCTGGTGCTGCTGCTTCTTTAGAGTGCCTCTTGTTGAGTTCTGCTGCCTTTGGTGGCTGTGCCTCACATGTGCCCCAGGCTGGGTGGGCAGTCACCTTTTTCTGTTTTGGATAGTTTAAATACTGGGCACAGGCACCATGCTAGGCCTGGAGGACTGTCTGTTACCACTGGCCCTTTATAATACTCTGTTTTGTTTCTCTTTTTGCCTCCGAGGACCCTTTGGCTATAGATGGTAAGTATAATCAGTTGTTTTCTCTAGCTTTAGTTAACCTGAGTCTTACAAGGAGAGAAGGAGGAAAGTCATGTATTGGACATTGGCCAAAATGTCATTTTAATTTAGTGGCTCAATTCAATTAAAGACAGCAGATTTGTAAACCAAACAAAACTACAACCCCTGACAGATGAAAGCCCAAGTGTTGATATCACTGTAGTAGCAGGGCCTTGTCGCAGCCCATTTTTCTAGAACTCATACAGGAACAGACATTCTAATCATAGAATTAGCAAGAACAATTTACTTTTATTGTAGCTGCTGTTCCATGTGATTTTTAGGAGCTTAGAGTAGGTGTTGTTTGATTCCTCCTAAATACACAGCCACGTTATTCATGTAGGGAACTGGTAGGAATCAGTTTGTAGTTTCTGTAGCTACTGCTGCAGTGGTTGGAGCTAGGCCAACCTAACATGTCCTGAAAGGGAACACTGAGGCACATAGGCTTAAAGCAGGCCCTCAGGGATATGATTCATCTGAGGTTTTTGTTCTTTCAACCCTGCTTTTGATGTTCTGTGTTGGCTTTTCCCTATGGGCAGCAGGTGAGCATTTGAAATCCATGTTCCCTGGGGCAGAGGGCCAAGTAGGGTTTGGACACTGTTAAATCCCTTACAGAAAACTTGTTTCTTCAGCCTGTGATTGCATGGGACTTTAACATGCTAAAACACAAATTTATTTCTTTTTTCTCCAGATTCTGAGGAGTTAAACATAAGGAAGCGGAAGTAAGTCAGAATTCCTCATTCTGATGGTCAGTGTTTTGGGAACTGCTTTCCCAATGACCTTTAAATCCCAGATGTGCTTCCATTTGGGTGGCATGCTGCTGGTAGAAACCAGCAAAAAACAACTGCAGCTGATCTGACTGCTCTTGTTGTCAGAGGTGCAGAGTCTGGGAACATCTTTGGACATCAACCCTCAAAGAAGTCCAAATCCCATTTTTTGTTTCCCCTTACGTTGCTGCAGAGGGCTTGTGTCTGATGAGAAGCAGTCCGCAGTGGAGCTGGATGCTATGTTGCAGCATCATCAGGACATGCAGGAGAAATTAGCTGAAGAAATGCTGAGTTTGGCTCGTAGTCTCAAAAACAACACTCTGGCTGCACAGAACGTGATAAAACAAGATAACCAGGTAGAGTATGTGCAAGGGCTAACCCAAAGATTAAGTGCTAATATGTTAAATACCTATAACTTGAGAGGGGGGAGACTTGGAGGCAGTACCTGTCTGCTTCTGTAGTGGAGATGAGCCTTTCCTCTGAGGGAAGAAATAGTGGTCAGAACTTTCACATCTGGGTTTGAGACCATTTGTTCTCTTGCTCCACAGACACTATCTCATTCTCTGAGGATGGCAGACCAGAACTTTGAGAAGCTGAAGGATGAATCTGACCGCCTGGAACAGCACGCAAAGAAATCAGTCAACTGGCTCTTATGGATCATGTTAATTGTAGTTTGCTTTATTTTCATCGGCATGATTCTCTTCATTAGGATTTTCCCCAAGCTAAAATGACTATTACCTTTTTACTTAAAACTGCCAGAAGCACAGTTGGAAAGTTCTGTTGCCATTATAACTGTCAGCAGTCAATGGCCTTGCCACTTACCCTGTCCTCAGAGAGGCTGTGCATGGCCTACCCTTGCATCTCCTTCTTGTTCAGTTACTGGATTTGGGAGGGGCTTTCTACACTTGGGTACTTGGTTATTTTTTGTTACCTTGTGAATATTGTTGCCTATTCAGGGGAGAACTGGGATAAAGATGGCAATTTTGCTGAGCTGTTTATGAGTTCTTTTGTGGATTCATATAGTCCTGCTTTTAATGTGTCTGTAGCAAATGGTACAGCTCCTAAAAGGCATTTACTCAGTCAAATATAAGGAACAGCTGAAGTCTCAAGAGCTTTTCCTGTCTTTACAGCTTTCTGTACTGCACTGGGACATTGCTGCCAACAGGGTATTTAACCACGCTTTGTAGAGACACAGCTGTAGGGGGTTGAAAGAATGCTGCCGGATGTAGAGTATCAATAGGGAACACAAATTCTCAGGCTCGCCTTTTTCTCAGATAGGTATTTGGGACTTCGAACTTTACAGTCTTCTGCAGTTTAAACTGAATATAGAAGGGCTGAAGTTGCTTCCTGTTACAATCTTTGCTTCCCTTTTTGTTTGCGCAAATGTGCTCACAAGCAAGTACTCATTGGTTTGACCAGAGCAAGCCAGGCTGGGTGTGCAGGGGCTTCGGTTTTCCACACGAGGGTGCTGTCACCATTGGCAAGGGCCGATGTTCTAAAATACGGGATTTTTTTTAAGTACCTAAAATGCTAATTATTTCATGGAACAACTGGAAGCCTGATGTTTAAGGGACTGAGTCCAGATTTGTTTCAGACCCTTTTGGATATCTTGGTACATATCCAAAAAATCTTGTCTTTTATGGCTCTGGGAGTGAGGGGCAGTATTCAGCAGTCACAGATCAAAACTGATGATTTATACAACAGAGGACAGGCATGGTTCACGGCTCTTCAACAAGGCTTTATATTCTGAGATGGAGCTTTACAGGCTTGTGCCATTGAGACAGTATTGGGGTCCTGCTCCAGCTCATGGGGAATGGTCACTGCTGGTGAAACTCTTCCTGCTATGCTCTCAGTAACTATACCAGTATCTTGATAGTAACTCAATAGGAAGGTTGGATCAGATGATCCTTGAGGTCCCTTCCAGCCTGCCAGTCTATGATTCTATGTTTTGATGCTGCAGGGCAGTGTGCTGGTGAATCTAAAGGAGGAAATCTGGAGGGGGATTTCTTACAAGGGCCTGTAGGGACAGGCCAAGGGGAATGTCTTTAACCTTCCAGAGGGGAGACTGAGCTGAGCTCTTAGGCAGAAGCTCTTCCCTGTAAGGGTGCTGAGGCGCTGGCACAGGCTACCCCGAGAAGCTGTGGCTGCCCCATCCCTGGCAGTGCTCAAGGCCAGGTTGGACACAGGGGCTTGGAGCAAGCTGCTCTAGTGGAAGGTATCTTAGCAGCTATAAGCAACTATAGTCACTGATACATCTGCCACAACACCAACCTATTTGTGTCAACCTGGCTATTGAAACAGAAACTGTTTTTAAGCCATCACTGCTGCGAGCTTGATTGTGTAATGTTGGATTGGAAAGGAAGGTGGGGACTGAAATGTGTAAGCGAGAAAATTCGAACAAGTCACTGTATTTGTTTTCAAATTAACCTTTCCAGCCACACAGGTATTTATAACCATGCTTATTATAACTGTGCTGACTAACAGCTTTAGAAAAGTCTGGAAATAAAGAGCTGATGGACAGCGTTTTAGAAAGATGAGAGAACAGTCTTAAGTGCTCCAGGAAAGCATTATTGCACGCTGGCAAACAATAATAGTACACATGACCTGTCCTCCTGAGGCTTGAAAGCAAGAATGATGGGGTAGGATTTTTTCTGGCCTATGTAAGGCAGGGGGATGGAATACATCGTCTTAAGGAGATTCTTGCTTCTTTTCTGGCCTTAACCTCCGCACAGCTGCACTGCAGGGATTCCAGAGCTGTGGTCCACAGGATTAGCTCTTGCTCCTTGTTTTGACTGAACTCGTAAGTAGCACTTTAACAGCTTTTCCATGTAAAGAGCCATTTGCTGAAGGACCCAGGGCTTTTTGTTCCCTTCTTTTTCTCCACTTGTGAAGAAAAGCCTGGGTTAAACTAAAGCCATTCATTGTTGGCAAAAGGTGAAACGAGTTGCTGCAGGGATGGATTTCAGTATTACCCACTCGGGTGGTTACAGGCTGATCTGTATCCTGCTTGATGTGTGATGTTTGCATTCTAGAGTGTGTGCATGCATTCATACATGTACTTAAATGTGGTATACAAGAGATAGAGCACGTGCTTTAGCAGAGTAATGGTGGTACAGGCACAAGACAAGGTGGGAAGCATACACAAGAGGGAAAGGAGCAGAAGCTGGTTCATCAGAGCAGGGGCAGGATTGCAGCAGGAGCCAGAACTGATCTAATTCAACATGTCCCTGCCCATTGGAGGGGCTGGAACGAAATGGTCTCTGAAGGTCCCTTCCAACCCCACCCATCCTGTGGCTCTTATGAAGATTCACCTCCTTTGTGGTTTTATTTGCACTCATGAAAGGTTCCTATAAAGTAACCACTCAGTGAGTTCATCACTTCATTCTTTAGCACCGGGTAAAGCGCTGTATCGCACTGCAGTGATGGGAGAGAAACTCAGGTCTTTGGTGACGTTCTGTGTGGGTTCCATCCGAATTAGTGCTGCCATGTCAGCTCTGTCACCTCTCACATGGCCTGGCACGGGCTGTACCTTCCAGCTCTCCCTGGCAGCGTTCAGGGCCAGGTGCGATAGGGCACCCTGGCCTTAGTGGAGGTGTAAGCTCCCTTCGTGCCCTCTGGGGGCAGGTGAGCCCCGCCGCCTGCCCGGTGCGTTCCTCCTGCGGGCTCGGACAGGCTCAGCGGCTCCGGCTCGCCACAGCCCGCCCGCCCCCCTCCAGCAGGCCTGGGGTGCCCCGCCTGACGGAGGCCCCGCCGCGGGGCCCTCAGCGCGGCCCCACCCGCAGCCAGGCCGCCCTCAGCCGGGGGGCGCGGGAGGAGAGCCCAGGCCAGGCCCGGCCGGCGCCAGCGGGGAGCGGAGCAGAGCAGAGCCCGGGCCGGCCCCGCCCCGCCCCGCGACCGCCGCCTCCTCGCTCCGCCCGGGGCGCGCAGAGGCCGGGCACGGCGCGGATCTCCGCGGAGACCGGGTCGGCACCGCCCCGGCGGGGGAGGCTGGAGGTGAGCGGGTGAAGTAACGGAGGGAAGGGAGCGCGGGGGGGGGATGGCGGGGCCGGGGGTCCCGCTCGGCCTGCGGGAACCGTGGTGGGAAGGGGGGGCCGGGGACCGGCTCCTCAGGGAGGTCATGCGCCGGGACTGAGGGAAGGGCTGCGAGAAGCCGGCTCCCGCCTGCCCGGCCGGGTGGGGAAGGGGCCGGGTGGGCTCTTGTGGGAGCCTCGAGGCGAAGAAAACCCTTTCGTGCTCCTGTAGGGAAAGGAGCGCAGAGGGAAGGATTCCGTCTGAACGGAGGAGGGTCAGGGCAGGCGCCCGACCGCAGCGGTACTTGGGGGAAGCCGCTCTGTGCTCCTGAGGTAGCTTTTAGCGGAGGCTTCAATACTTCGCTCTTAACCCTTCGCTTGAAGAACTTGGGGAAGGTTTTCTTGCTGGCAACAAAACCAGTTGCCAGGATGGTGAAGCCGTGAGGCTGAAGGAAAACGTGTTTAATGGTTCAACAACGGGTTTGTGTCGCGGTCGCAGTTCAGGTGGCATGAGGGTAAATCAGAAGTCGCTCTCTTATGTTAAAGTTGCCAGAAAACCAAGTGCTCGATGGCAAATTGCACTTCTGGAATCGTTGGAAGCCAGGCGGGATGCTAGGTTTTAAGAAGAGTAAGAATAGAATCAGGGATCAGAGCATGAGTGTGCCTTGGGATACCGATGCTCTGTGAGGTCAGACATCTGGATTTTAGTTAGCTGGGCTTGGAAATGCTGGCTTAATCTACACCATTTATCAGCGTTTAAAGGTAATTCCTTGTTTTACAAGTGTAGTGCGAAGTGTTTGAGGTCAGGTTTGCAGGAGTCGGGCGGAGGGTGCATTAGGGAGGACAGACATGGTGATGCTTGTCCTCTGAAGGATGGACCAGTCTTTTCCTGTGGCCGGTTCTGAGGTGTGAGGCTGTGCTGGCGATTGATGCATTTCTGAGCTCAGGTCTATCAAGATAGGAGGCTTAGCGAGACAGAAGTGTGAAGAGGAGCTTTCCCCCGTTTCTGTGTGGGGTTTTGTGTTAGTTATTTAAAGGGAAAGGTGCTGTGTTGTTAGCCGGAGGCTCTGTGTCAGAAGGTAACAGGCTTTGTGAGAGAGATGCTTGTGTTCAGAGCAGCGAAGAAGCTGGCGACATTGGAAAGTGCATCTGATGTTAAGCCCACTGCTTTTTACCTGCAGAGTGAGGGTCCCTGTAAGCTTGTGCAAACGGTGCAATTCCTATAAAATGTGGATTTTTACGAAGCTCATTCCCTTCTCATGTTAGAGTTACATTAGGGAGGTAAAGCAGAAAGCGGCAGTTTCTCAGACTGATGGCATTCCCAGCAGGAAGGAGAGCACATACACACAGCGAGAAGTGGTGACATCGCCCTCCTGTTATAGACCACCTGAGTCTGCAGAAGCTTGGGTGATTTGTACAGTGTCACACAGGGGATTCAGAGACTCAGCTTCTCTGTTCACGTGTGGCAAAGTTTGGATTCCTGCTGCTAGCTCCACAGGCTGGGCTTGAGGAGCTAATGCTCCTTTCAGCTCTGATTGAAATACATTGGTCTCTGTTACCATGTTCTTAGTGCCTGGGGAGACCCTTCCCCACCAAGAGAGACAAGTGGTGTTGATTATGGATGTGGCAGTTCTCTGCTCTTACCTCCCAAGTTTACCTCGGGACATGGACCTGGCCAAGCTCTGAGGCCCTGAGGTTATGTACTCCTACAGACATCAGCACAGGTTTCAAAGGGCAGATTCTTACCATGCACTCTTTTTGGCAGAGTTAAGAAAGGCTCCTTTTTAAAATGTCTCCACTTGAGGGAGTCCCTTTTCCCTTCATGGAGTCACCAGCTTGATGGAAGATGTTTTTATTGTGGTTTCAAAGGCTTTTCTTGACATCCTTTTGAGTGCAGAACTGGAATGGTGTCTGGTCTGAAGGAGAGCCTGAGCTCTGAAGTCAGGATCATGGCAACAGCCAATTTTTTATAGACCCAGCAGTGTCAGTAAACACCAAAACACCCATATCGATCATTCCTGCAGCTGAGAATCTTCCTGAAAGGCAGCTGATGAGGATCTCTTGACAAGGGCCTGTAAGGACAGGCCAAGGGGAACGGCTTGAACCTGCCAGAGGGGAGACTGAGATGAGCTCTTAGGCAGAAGCTCTTCCCTGTGAGGGTGCTGAGGCGCTGGCACAGGGTGCCCAGAGAAGCTGTGGCTGCCCCATCCCTGGCAGTGCTCAAGGCCAGGTTGGACACAGGGGCTTGGAGCAAGCTGCTCCAGTGGAAGGGGTCCCTGCCCATGGCAGGGGTTGGAGCTGGAGGAGCTTTAAGGACCCTTCCAGCCCAGACCACTCTAGAATTCTGTCATTCTTTGTGATGTGATGCTAAGGGTCGCTGCGATTTCATTGCATATATACACTCAGAAAATGCCTGGGGCTGCATACATAATATATTTAGGGTTAATTTTGTGTCTTCAGGCTCCTTTTGCAGAAGCCAGTAAAGACTTGAAGCTATGAATCTGGATATTTCCAGGTATGCTGTAGCAGTTGGACACTCGGAGCTCAGGGGAGGTGTTTTCTGCAACAGAATAATTTGATGAGCTTGAGCTGCCTTTCTGCAGCCACTTGTGCTTTTCTCTTTTACCTTGCACTGAGCCTGCACAAATGATCTTGAAGCCAGGTCATGAATTGCATTGAGGAACCAGCAGGGAGTAAAATGAACCCCAAGTCAAAGAAAAGAAGCTGCAAAGTTTAAGTCTTTTTTTCAGCCTAGCTCTCTGTGAAACCTTACACATTCTGCTGTTGAGTAGGGGGGTGCTGGCACTGAAGTGGGAGTGATGGCCAGGAACGGGTGGAGGCCAGGCTGTAGTCTTTGATGGCAGTGTTGGTTTACACTGGCTCTGTGTTATAAGGAACATGTCTCAGCAGGGGAGTCCTTTCACATTGGAAAGAGCAGCGGTTTCAGTTGAAGGATTGTAGTGGATCTCTCCACCCATTGATAGACTCTTAAAGGAAACACATCTGTTTCTTCCCTTGCTGTGGTTGCTGTTGCTCTGGTCTTTGCATCCTTGCCCAGCAGGTTATAAAGCCCTGGTATATACAGCTCAGGTTCTGGTTTTGTCAGAAGATCAGTTCCTGGAGCCAGCCCAGACTGATGTCTGGTGCAAAGCTGCCTTGAAGGGCTGAGGTGTGCAAAGTGTTGCTTTCCACCAGTTGCATCCTTGCTGTGAAAGGACCAAGAGCTCCTCTCCCATCTAGGTTGGACAGGGCTTAGAGCAACCTGCTCTAGTGGAAGGTGTCTGTGCCAATGGCAGGGGGTTGGAACTGGAGGAGCTTTAAGGTCCCTTCAACCCAAACCAGTCTGTGAGTCTATGAAGTTCTTCAAGTACTTTGCTGTGGGAGGTTGTTGCACAGATGGCCACGCACCCAGGGGTGATGTGTATGATGTGCCCTTCCAGCCCCACAAGCACCAAGGCTTTGAATCAAAATACATTAGGCAAAAAAACCTTTAAAGAGATAAACTGCAGGCTGTGCTTAGGTTATGTTTTTGTAGCAAGTGGTGGTATTTTCACTCCTGGGGTACTATCAGAGCTTTTGGGGCAGCTGCTTCCTTGTTGTTCATCTGTCTTTGTCATACATATAAGAAAGGTCACCTCCTTCTAGAGGATTTGAGACGTTATGTCAAAATGTGTGTGTAATGTTTTCAAAAACAAAGATTGAGTTTTCTGTTCAGAGATGATGTTCAGGTAAAAGCACAAAGGCAGAACTCCCAAAATCATAATTTCTGTGTGATTTTTCTCATCAAGTTATTTGTGGTCAATTGAAGCAGATATAAAGTGATCCTTGGTATCTCGTGTTTTAAAAATAACCCCTGAGCTCAGCCAGCAAGAACCAGGGCTGGGAGGTTCTGACTTTGTTAGGGGATCCAAATGGCTGTGGCTGTCACTCTGGCCCGTGCTCCGGGCTGAAGCTGGTGCAGGCCTGATTGTCTCAGCTCAGGCAGGGCCAAACAGCTGCCTGCAGTGCAGAGGGATTAATCCATGTATTGGAGAGAGATTGGCCCAGCGTGGAACAAGCGTGGTGCAGGAGCGATTGCGAAGATGCCGCAGTGTACATCACATCCAGAGACCATCCCATAACGCCAGAGGTGCTGGATAAAAACCATGGTGTGGTTGCAGCCTTCAATATCCTGACAAATAACATACTGTCCTATCGTGATTTATTTATGTACACAGTAAGGCAGACTCGGAGACAGGTTCTTTTGATGTCAGATAATATTTCAACGAAGAAGAGGACAGTGCATGCTGAAAAAACTTGTTAGATTCTGCTTTATAAGCTCTCCATGTGTGCCAAGACCTGCTCTCGCGGGTCCTGACAGTATTACAGGGCTTTCAAGTTATCTTTCTAATCAAGACTAATTCACGTCCAGATTTGTTTTTAAATCATCATCATCATCTGATAGATTGCATTTCTCATTAGGCAGTAACGATTGTGAAAAGTGAGTCACAATTCTTTTGATCTTGGAGAAAGGCACAGCTTTCTATTGGTTGCTCTTTCTTTCTCAATGCTTTTGAATGTGTTTTGCATTTGTGGTATAGTTGGGAGCGCAGATGTCATTCTCAGATAAGGTTTTGTGTTTTGCAATTAAAAATGATGAAAACTTGCTAGTTTGAGAGGTGGAAAAGTATCATTAAAAAAAACCCTTAATTAAATTTCTTTTTTTTTGTTTTCTCCAAGCTTTGGAACAGGCTGCAGAGTTTGTGGGAACAAATACCTGGGAAACTGATGGAAGTGGTGATACTGAGATTCACAGCCGGCTCATACAGAGTAATTAAAGCCTGTGTGTTTCCTGCAGGAGGGACGAGAACAAGGGCTGTGTGAAAAGTCCTGCTCTGCATCGTGTAGGTGTAGTCGGTTGTAGTACACGATGCCTCCCTCCACTTCCCAAATGCATCCCAACTGATAAAGAACTTTCCTAATCTGCACTGGCATTCGAGATGATCTGATTCCGCTTTGATGTTTTATCTTTGCTAAATCTGGGGCAGAGAAGTCACAGGCATCTGTCCCTTTGTCCCATTTGTCACAATTGAAATGCTGCCAGGGCTGGAGCAGCTCTGCTCTGGAGCCAGGCTGAGAGACCTGGGCTGGATCAGCCTGGAGAAGAGAAGGCTCCTGAAAGGGAGACCTTAGAGCAGCTCCAGTGCCTAAAGGGGCTGCAGGAAACCTGGAGAGGGGCTTGGGACAAGGGCCTGTAAGGACAGGCCAAGGGGAATGGCTTGAACCTGCCCGAGAAGAGACAGAGATGAGCTCTGAGGCAGAAGCTCTTCCCTGTGAGGGTGCTGAGGCGCTGGCACAGGGTGCCCAGAGAAGCTGTGGCTGCCCCATCCCTGGCAGTGCTCAGGGCCAGGTTGGACACAGGGGCTTGGAGCAAGCTGCTCCAGTGGAAGGGGTCCCTGCCTGTGGCAGGGGTTGGAGCTGGATGGCTAGGAGCAATATAGAAGTGTTGCCTGTGTGTAGATGAATGGAGATAGGAAAGGCAGACCTCATCTGGAGTGAGGGATGTGAAGGGCAAACAGAAGGGCTCCTGTTGAAAGTACATTGGCAGTAAGAAGGAGGATAAGAGAACTGGGGCCTGCTGCTGTTGAGTACCTTCTGACCCGGGACATGGTGAAGCCAGAAAGCACTCGGGGCCTTTTCTTGTTTTTAACTGGTTAAACCAGTACTTGTTTTTTCCTGGGCAAATGCAGGGAGCTGTGCTCATCCCCCTCAGTGAGGGATGATGGAATGAGTCGAGCTGTCTCATTTGCATCCTGATGTGGATGGGTGACATCAGCGTGGCACCTGCACTGTGGGTCAGACAAGGCAGCCTGCCTGGGAGTCAGACACTCGCAGGCAGAGCAACCTAGCAGCAAAGGAACTGCCAAGCAGAGCACAAGGTATGGAAGTTCATAAGTATTTTATGGTGGCTAAGGAAGATGGTCACTGCAGAGCTAGGTGAGCAACATTGCCTGCTCGCTGGGCTTTTTGTTTGCAGCTTCTAGCATTTGCTTGGGCATTTTATGCTTTTTCTGGGACAAAGATCTCTCAGAAGAGGGTGTATATGAAAATTGTTGCCTTGGAACAGAGAAGCACATGTCCAGCATGCACCAAAGCGTGAGGTAGGGTTAATGTTGGTGAAAAGCTGGGAAGTGTAGGAAGCAAGGCAGAGCAAGCCATCTCTTAGAGGGCTAAAAGGAGATGTTTTCTTAGGCAAAGGGGTTTGGAGGTGAATTTTATCTTTCTGCTTTTCAAGTTAGCAGTGAAGAATCGAGCTTCTGTTGGACTGGTGGTGGAAGTAAGCAAATGGTGAGAAGTTCCTTGAAACACTTGAAGAACAGCAAAATGAATTGATGCATGGGTGGGCAGCAGACATGAAATAGATCACTAGGAAATGTCAGCTGGTAGATCTAGGTGAGGCGAACATCTGAAAGTGAGGAAGTTGAAGATAACTGGTCATTGCAAGAGAGATGAGAAAGCTGGGGAGCAGAAGAGAAATAAAGTAGAATTAGCTGCAGGTGAAGAGAGATTCATACCCAAGGTTCATACCAGAATCCATCCATGTCTCTGGGGATGCTGCATCAGTCATGGCCAGAGCAAAGAGACTTCTAATCATCTCCAAAAGATGTTCAGGGAAATGGAGGTGGGTTTGTAGGGAAGTTATCTGGACAGAGTGAGGAGAAGGCATGCCACAAGTGTGATGGTCAATGGGTGATTCATGGACTGGAACTATAAGGAAAGTGGTGTGGGTTTGGGTTTGGTGCTGGTTTGGTTTGGTTGTTTGCCATGGGAGGACATTCTTAGAGAGGCATTTTTCTTGATGAGTGAGTTTCAGCTGTGGCCTTTGGACACTGTTCAGGGAGAATTGACCAGAGTAGGACTGGAATACAGTGGCTTTTCCAATTTGAAATAACAGGGAACCATTATAAATATAATAGAATCATAGAATAGTTTGGGTTGGAAGGGACCTTTGGAGGTCATCTCCAACCCTCCTGCAATGAGCAGGGACATCTTCAACTAGATCAGATTGTTCAGAAGCAGAGGACTCTGTTTCTTGACCACAGCTTCTCCGTTGTGCTTTCCAGCACATCAAGATCTAAGTGGCTTTGTGGGTTTTCATTATCTCAGCTCTAGCCCCATGACAAACATAAAGCAACTTGAATGGAGCAGCAGTATGGCTGCTTCCACATCAGCTGAGCATTTCCCCCATGGCAGCACTGGTTAATTAAGGCCTGGGAAACTGGCTTTACCAGGAAGTCTTTGGCAGGAAAACCTGTGCTGGTTCTGGTAGCAATGTCATTAGTATGATGCTGCACTTAAGCTAAATAAGACTTGGCAGACCTAAGCCTGGCCCAGAGCCACTTTGGAGCTGTTTGTGCCTGTGGCATTGTTCACCCACAAGCCTGTATAATCTACCTGCAGACAATGGACCAGCCCTGGTATCATCAAGAGCTGGAAGGCCTTCATAGTGAGACTAAAAGGAATGAAATAGCATGGTGGGCTAAGTTCTCTATTTGGGGACTAACAGCAGAGCTTTGTATTAAAAATGTGGATGTTAATGCTAGTCACTGCTCTCATTCAAATTCTTTATTGGGGTTATTATATACCTACCAGAGGGCTTAGAAACAGCTTTCTAGTGTGAACAATTGATGCAGAAACACCACTAATACAGCTTGGTACCCCTAATGAGAGGATCGTTGTTGCTTGTCATAGCAAACAGCTGAAAGTGGCCCAATGAAGTCTTGGATGATCCTAAAATAAACAGCTTTCTGAGGCAGAAAGGATGAGGAAAGGACTTAGTGAGTGCTGTGCTGGAATTTGGAGAGAAGTTGGATGTTCTGTGCTATTGGGATGAGAATCCCTACAGCAAAGACCAAAATTACCATTGTGACCTGCTCTTTTGGAAGGTGTCCCTGCCCATAGCAGGGGTTGGAACTGGATGAGCTTTAAGGTCCCTTTCAACCCAAACTACTCTGAGTCTAAACTGCAGGGTAGGTACCTACACTAAAGTGAGAGGGTGATTATCCAGTTTGCCACAAAGACTCGTCAGTCTTCTCTCTCTTTTTTCTCCACCCTTATCTCTAATATTCACCTATGTAAATGCACATGAGTATTCATGTGCCTATATTTTAATGTTTAGTTTGGGAATTGGTTCTCTAAGTGCATCAGCAGAATAACTCTTTGACCATGTCAGCACAGTTACATTTTCTGGCTAAACCTGCTTAGCCGTTTTCCCTGTGAGACAAGGAGTGACCTTTCTAGCTGGGCGCTGTGCTTTGAAAATGAACCTGGACATAAATCTCTCCCTAAGGGGCTTCAGTACCAGTTCCTGTCTGTGGCTTGGGGTTCAGGAAGCCCTTCAGTGCTGCTCTTTGCTGCGATGTGCAGATGCTGCAGGTGCATTCCTGCTGGCCACCACGGAAATTGTTTCCTTGGAGCAGCTCACTGCAGCCTGTCAGCAGAGACCTTTGTAATGCTAAGGATTCAGATAAAACCCCCAAGTTTAAAAACAAAGGCAAGTATGAACAAAGTAAGTATGTGGATAGGGCTGCTGGGCTGCACCAAGTCCAATTGCTTCAATACCTGTTAGCTTTGTCATAGAATCATGGAATGGTTTGGGCTGGAGGGGACCTGCCACAGACAGGGACACCTTCGCCTAGACCAGGTTGCTCCAAGCCCTGTCCAACCTGGCTTTGAGCACTGTGTGAACTGCTAATGCTGATGTGTTCAGTGTCAGGTAGGGGAACATGTACTGCAGTGTTTTCCCTCTGTTCCTGCTGAACTTGTCTGTGTGAGGGGCTGTCTCTGTTACACTTGCATTCAGTGCTGGACGGCTTGGTGCTGTGTATTATTACAAAGCTCCAACCAGTAACACAGGGTGCTCTGTGAGGCATAAAGAACTTTGGAGAAAGAAAGGGGCTGCTGATGCTTTCCTGTGAGTGTTCAAAGGACATCTTAAACACACCATTGTCTTCAGCTTTCCAGCTGCCTCCACTTGGGAACTTGGCCTGTGTGAACTGCAGAAGGTAACTTCGGCCCTTACTGTATGAAGCTATCTCTGTACTTTCATCGTGCAGACATAAGGAACTCTTCCAGGAAGGTGATCCTGGCTATATATAGTTTGCACATGAGAGTGTATTAGCTAATGGCTGTTTACTTCCTTAGCACTTTGAGTCTAAGAATATTTCCCCTAAGCAAATTGGAAGACTTGCTTTATATCCTTCCCACAGAGAGCCCTCGGCAGAGTTCAGCTTTACCAAGCATGCGTTGCAGCTTTTTGTGCTGCTGCCAGGCGTCTCGTGTTCTGGAGGGAGACTCCTTGGTTGTGTAATTGCAAAGCTTGCTATTGTGGCAGCTTTCCCTAACCTGCCTTTGCACTGGCAGACAGCCCTGCACTACTGACCACATGGTTCCTGCAGAGCTGAAGCAGGTGGACATGCAGTTCTAGGTACTCCTGATGCTTTTCCTGACTAGAGCTGAGGTTGGTGTCTTTCACGCCTTGTAAAGCTCTTTGTAATTCAGACCCCTTGCTTAGGGAGCTGACTTCTCCAAGCTGATATCCAGTACGTATCTGAAGAGCATGGGCTGTTCTGGACCACTGTCACCTGTAGTGCTGGTGTGTTGAATTCATTGTAGGATAAGCCCATACTCACACAGCTTAGTTGGACATAGATACTTTCTGCACTGCAGCTGTAGAGTTCGTGTTCATGCAGTCTATAGGTGATCTGGGGACATCCTGTAAGCGTGGTTCACAGGCCCTGAGGTTGAGCACAGCAGACAGGCTGTTAGGCAGTTCTCCTGGCAGAAAATGGACCAGGGCTTGGGCCTCCACTAGGTGAGATGCTTTGTGATATTCAGGGCAGACACTTGCTATCTCAATTACATGCATAATCTGAATTACATGCTTTCCCCCTTTGTTTTATAAGGCAGCGTTTCATGTGTGCTGTTCAGATGAGTTCAATGGCATCTCATTCCCGTGTTTCCTCTTTCCTCATTCTATGCCTGCCCAAAGCTTGTTCGACTTCTGTTCAGAGCTTGTGTTTGGGATATTTGTTGGTATCAGCTAGAATGAGCAGCCTCTGCTGGAGGGTGGTGCAGTTCATACTTGTGTATGGGGTAGAATTATCTCACAACAGTATTTTCATGTTTAATTCTTTGTTACACCCATTCCACTGCCTTCTATGCTGCTCTGATCAGGTATGTAAATCCCACCTTCAGGCATGGTCTTTGAAACTGCATTACAAATCCAGCTTACCACGTAGCCCAAAAATTCTTACCTGGAACTATTTTCCTTAATCGTTTTAAGGAAAAGATGGATCTTTTCTTCTTTTTCAAAGGTGAAGTTTCAGAATAACATTAGTTATAATGCATGCACACATACACAAAGTGGAATTGAAGTTGTAGAATCCCAGACTGGTTTGGGTTGGATGGGACCTTCAGGCTGATCCAGTTCCAACCCCTGCCACGGGCAGGGACACCTTCCTCTAGAGCAGCTTGCTCCAAGCCCCTGTGTCCAACCTGGCCTTGAACACTGCCAGGGATGGGGCAGCCACAGTGTATAAATAGAAACAAATGCAGAAGTTCAGAGACTAAAAACCACAGATATGTGCATATGAAAGGACAACTGGCAGCCAGCCCTGGAGCAGACTTGCTGCATCTTCCTGGTACCAAGCTGTCAGTCTCTACAAAGGAAGCTGTCAACTGAAGAAGCTGCAGTATTCAACTGAAAACCTCTAGATACACCTTGCTGAGAATGCCCCTGTTGAATTCTGAGGCAGTTCTCTCCATTTTAGCCCTTTTTTGGTTCTGTGCCAGGAGTCAACGAGCACCTGATAAAAAATCTGGGAGCAGGTTATCAGTTCTTTGGGCCCTGGTGCAATCCACACCTCTTCTGCTTTCACAGCCAGATGCAAGCTCAGCGAGGGTGTCATCCTTCCTGGCTTCAGTGGCTTGTGCTGACAGGTTTGCTGGGTGCGAGGCTGCCCTCAGTTCATTCTGCTCTCTCTTCCTTCCAGGATGGCACGCTCTCTGTATGAGTGGATCTGGCACCATGAGTTCTGGCTGCCCCCAGGAATCACTTGGGAGGACATGCAGGAGTCTGAAGATGTCCATTACCCTCAGCCTCGTGATGTCCTGCTCAGTATCCCTTTTGCTTTAATCTTGGTTGTCATTCGCCGTGTCTTTGAAAGGTAAGTTTTTTAGTGCTCTTTGGGGATTTTTAGGGTTAATGCTGGCAGTTCAGGTCCAAAAGCTGACTTGAGTGTCTGGGCCAGTGTGTGACTGAAGAGGTCGACAGGAATTCCAGCTCATAAGGTCTGCTGAGGGACATTTTTCAGCTCTTCCTTTCCAGCCATGTGTACTGGCTAAAGAAGTGTGTTGAACATAGAACACAAAACCTTCCTTTAAGGTCTGATTATGAGCCATGTGAGTTCCTACACTTAAAACAGGTAGGCCCTGAATGAGCTTTATGCTTGTGGTGTAGAAGGCAGACAAGCTGTTTTGTGTTTTGTTGCATATTGGTGGCAGTTTCTGGGTCGAGAGCAGTGGGAATCATATTTAGACTACCCAACTACAGTTAAGTCTCCTTTATCTTGGGTAATGGGGCACCTGACACACAAGCCTCAGTAGGATGCATTAGATTAGGCTGAGTCATCTGACCTCAGAATCAGCCACACAAATGTGTGCATGTCACAGACCACTGCCCTGGGTTCAGGAGTGTCATTCCCTTGGGAGAGCCATGTAAAGACATTTGTAGCTGCTGCTTTCTTTCCAGAACCATGTAAGTGTTTTGCATATTACCCTTCAGCACAGAAAATACGGGGGTTATGGCAAAGAAATCCCACAGGGTTCATTGACTCAGAGTTTCATAAGGATCCTGAGCTGGTGCTGTTGCTTTATGCAGTTTAGTCCATAGTTTGCATGGTGTCTGCAACACAAAATGATTTGCTGGTGGGTAACTGAGATTTACCGTAGTGTCAGCCATTGTCAAGACTGCAGAGTAAGTCCCCTTTCATGATCCTGAATACTCTTCAAAGTGGTTCTCACTGGACTGAAAAATCCCTATTCCTCGCTGCTGATGGAAGACGTAATCTTCTGAAATAGTTTAGTCAAATCTACAGTGGTTTGAAGCTTAGAAAAAGGCAAAAAAAGACAATTAAAATGTCATCTATTTAAAAAGAAAGATGACAGATGGAAGCACACCTCTGCAGGTTAGGAAGATGTTTCCTCTGCAGACTCTCTGTGCTAACAGGGACAGATTGGAAAAGCTGGTGGAAGCTGAAATGATTCAGAGCTCTGTTGTGATGAAAATGTTTTTAATGAAAACCCCATTATAGCCAGGATTTTTCTGTAAACACAGATACGTCAGTGATTCTTTAAATAATCATTTTACGATGATACAAAACTGGAATCCAGATCTCTTCTTTGTAAACAATACGTTTAGTGTTCATTCCAGGAATTCCACAGATTTTACCGTGCACTTTCCCAAGGACGGAGATGGTTTGGTTACCTCCACTGATGTGGGAACCAGGGTGCTGTAGGGTAACCATTAAGACACAAGTGATTCATGTTTTTATCTTGCTGGTCCACAAGACAGGGCTGGATCCAGGTCTCCTCCAGGTACTCACTGTCCGTCAGTGCCTTGGGCAGTGTGAAGTTGGGGATTAATCCCTGTGTCCTGCATTGACCAGGACTCTCCAGTTCTAGGCTCCCCAGTACAAGACAGGAACAGGAAGAAGAAGGAGAGCAACTGTTCTTAGTGGTGTCCAGCAGCAGGAGGAGAAGGAATGGACACAAACAGAAATGTGTGACGCTTCAGCTGAACATATGGAAATGTATTACCACTTTGAGGGTGGTCAGGCATTGGAACAGGTTCCCCAGAGGAAGAATGGTGTCTCCATCTGTGGAGATACTCAAAACCCAGCTGGAAACAGCCCTCTACAGCCTGCTGGAGCTGACCCTGCTTGAGCAGCAGGGGTCAGGCTGGGTGATCTCCCGAGGTCCCTTTCAGCATCGATTCTGTGCTTCTGTGACTCCGATCCTTTATCCCCCTTCCTTTTGCCACACTGCTGCTAGTCAGTCTAAATATCTTTTCCATCTGCTTTAAGATGCTTATGGCCAAGTTCAAAGATCTTTTTGCTTTCCCATCCAGGCGATGCCTCAGCTGGCAGAGTTTCCCCAGGCCTGATACTACTTATTAATTTTAAAGCTGTTTTGATTCACAAACTTCATTAAATAAGAGCTTCTTGTCACACCCTTATAAAAAGATAGTATCGCAGGCCCAGGAAGCCTATAATCACACCAGTACCTTACCAATGCAAATTACAAGCCAGCATTCTGAGCTGTGTTCTTTTTTGTCCTAACTCTTCTGCAGGCATTTATTTCAGCACGGCATCTTCTCATTCTCAATCATTTCTGTGTCATGTGCAGTTCATCCTGGAGAAGAAAGCTTCCCCTAGTGAATGGGAGGTATGAACCAGGTCCTCTGTTGCTCCGTTACTTCTTGTGTACAGTGACAGGATCCCTCTTTAAAACAACCTGCACAAAGGTTGAGAATTGCACACTGAAAGGATGTGTGTGTTACTTCTGCTTCTCCATGTAAATGCCCTTGGCTCTGTGGCTTTGTACATCTGGTCTGTAGGTCAAAATGAGTGTATGTAACCAGTATACAAGTTTGGGTTTGGTGGTTTTAGCTTGGCCTCTGGCAGTTTATTCTGCCCTCACCTATTTTGCATGCAACTGTGCAAGGATGCAAAGCATTTTGTTTTCTCTAAAGACACTGTGTTCCTGCTCGTACCTGCTCTGGGCTTTCAGAAACACTGTAATGTGTTCATGTCATTCATCTGTGTCAGAACTCCAGGAAAATACTGAGAGGAGGAGAAGCCCAGAGGGTTTTCTTCAATCCCTCATTCAGCAGCTGCATCAACCGCTGTGTTTAGCCAGTGGATCCATCTTCCTTGTTTGGAGATTAAACCTGGGAAGGACCCCGCTTCCTCAAGCATGGATTTCCTTCTCCTTGGCATCTGCTGGCTGAACTGGGATAAACTGAGCCTGACATCCTTTTAAGAACCATTTATGCTGTGGCTTAGGTGGTGGCTGTGGGAAGAGGGCATGCGATGGCTGGGTGGGGCCTGGGAGAGCTGAGGACGTGGGTGCAGCCCCTGGGGAGAAGAAACAGCTCACACTTGGGTGAAGCAACTCTTCTGGGAGGCTCTGCTCTTGGGAAGGTGCAGAATTGGGGCATTCAGTGCTGGAGAGCAGAAACCTTCCTACCTCTGCAGAGCCTCTGCTCTTTGCCATGACCCTGAAGCAGGGCAGTTGGTGATGATGTCCTGACAAAAGAAGGGGGCTTGGAATTTGGGAACCTCTCCTCTTCCTTTGGTGTTTCCAGACTGTGAGTAGGTGATACGTCTGGCACCCATGATTTGGAGGCTGGTTTTAGGCACCTTAGCAGAACTTCACCCTGCTCCTCTTCTATAATGTTTGAGGCCCTTTTCTTTAACAACCAAATTCTTGGGAGTGCCACGATTATGACGGAAGCACAGCTTCCATTGCAGAGTGTTTCTTGCCTGTATGGTTAGGTAAATATGAGAACTGGAGTGCTTTTGAGGGACAGTAAAGCAGGAAGTTGCAAGCCAGGATGTACATACCATTTAATTGTGTGATTTTAGACTTGACCAGTGATTTGGGGATGTTGGGGAACTGAAAGCTAAGGTGGGTGAATTTGAATCCAAGTAGATGAGGTCTCTTAGGAGGGTTGCAACTGCACATGAGCCATGGGATGACCAAGGAAAGAAAGGGATACTGTTGATCCGCAAGGAACAGATGCTTGAACTCAGAATGAAAAGAAAGAAGAGGGCACCCTTCCTTCTGAAAGGGCAAGCATGAAGCTAAAAGAACAATTCAAAGAACTCAAGTTCCAGTTGCTGCTGTCCCTGGTTCTGCATTTCTTACTCCTAGAGGATGCTGAGAGAGGGGCAAATTCAAAAACATTTGAGGGAGAGGCAAAAACCCCACTCCCCAAAGTTCAATTATTTCTTGTATCTGATGGTAACTCAGAAGCCTCTGCAGGAGCTGTGGGGCCTCATTTTGCATGGTGGGGGAGCATCCTTTATGCCCCTTCCTGATTAATCCATTTAGTTTCAACTAGAGCAGGTTTTGCAGGAGACAGTTTGTTCTTTGATGCTTGCCCAATGAAGTGGCTTAGTGTGAACTTTCCTGTGTAAACCACGGAGTGCAAGAAGCTCACTGGTGGAGAAGGGGGCTTGAGATGAGAATCGTCTCTGTGTCTTGCCTTGCCTACCTGTGGAGAGTGGTACTGATTAGTCCTCAGACTTCCTCCTTCTGTCTTCCAGACAGCTGATAAGCTGCCATGATGAGACCATCCCTGCAGCTGAGATGATGAATCTGTGATGTTGAAATCAGTACCAGCATCATCCTCTTAGGGTTGTGCTTGGAACCAGATTTAAATGAAAACTGAGTCAGAGCATACATCCAACATGTACAAACGTCCCTTAGGAAGAAGTTCAGGCCTTAATTTCCCAATGATGGTCATAAAAATAGGATTGGTCCCATAACGATGGTTAAAACCTTAACAACAAAGTAATTGTAACTTTGGTTAATTACAGCCTGTCTTCATCAACTGCAGCTGCCTTGTTCCTGTTATAGTGCAATTTTATGCCATGACCGTAACAAACCAGCAGGAAGGAGAAGAGAAGACAGGGATTAAACAAAGCTAAGAAATCAGTCAGGAGAATTTAAATAGTTTTCCCATTAAAATGCTCATTGGCAAACTGCCCTGACACCTGGCAGGAAAATTCTCTTTAATGTGTCTGGAAAAGTTCAGACCTTTCAGTTCCTGATGTGGGCTGATAAGAAGGCGCAATAGGGTTCTTCTGCAGCAGCAGAACTTGGTTACATCTTCTTCAGAGGAGCTTCTATTCAATGACTTGCTTCTTAAAACAAAAGCTCAGGCCCACTTCAAGGAACCACTTAGTGTAAGAGCCAAGACCTACTGCAGAGCTTGGATGGGGCTTGGAGCAAGCTGCTCTAGTGGAAAATTGGTTGGACCTCACTTCACACCATTGGGGAGGGAGAGAAGAGTGTGTGTAATGGAGTTGAATTGTTGAGCACAGCAATTCCATGCCCAGTTTTGTTACCACTTGGTATTTTCTATTTATGCAGTATTTTTGCCCTGCATTGTTCCCCTGTGAAGGGCTGAAGATGCACAGCTAGCAAAAGCATCCTTGTGGTTATGTTTCTAGTTGCTGTGTTTTTATTTTACAACCTATATTTGACTTGCATTAGGAAAACAGAGCTAAGTTACTCCAGTGGAGACCAAGTGACCTCCTGTTTCAGCAGGACCTTTCTTCTGCACTCACACATCTGATAGAGACTACGTCTCCATCCTGAGCCAAGTCCTGAGTTCAAGTGGATGCTGTGTATGTTCAGGGTTTTAGATGGAGCAGTGGCCTTATCATTAAGGCCTTATCAACAACATGTAACTGTGCATAAGCTGTAAGCAAGCCAGAGCACTGATAGGTATCGCGGCTGGTTCTGCGTGCCTGGGCTTAGTGCCATAATCCTGGATGACCAAGCATGGTGGATTCAGAAGTTGGCAGAGCAGGATATAGCATTTCCCAACCTTATGTGAGCACAGAGCTCAGGACAAGTCCCACTGCTTTTGCTGTAAATTTGGGTTGGTTTTTTTTTCTTCTCCGTTTCTTTATCCATCTTACTTGCTTGGCATGATAACTTGTGCTTCAAATCAAACTGTGGGAGGCAGCTGGGATGTAGTACATCATGTTTAAACAGTGCTGCAATATCAGAAATCACTGTTCTGCTTTTGGCTGAGCCTTTATCTTTTCTGTTGCAGAGCCATAGCCCTGCCCCTCAGTAGCAAACTGGGTGTGAGAGACAAGCAGAGACCAAAAGCTCAGCCCAACCCTGTATTGGAAACATTCTACAGTACATGCTGCAAGAACCCGGGCGAGGTAAGGCCTTTCTTCCTTTGCTTTCCTCTAGAATTAGCCCTTGTGTCTTATTATTGTGCCAGATAATATCACACGGAATTCCGAAGTTGGGTAATGCCACTTGTATTTGGAAGCTCAGTGAAGTAGCAGGAACTGCTAAAGCACTGGCCACCCACCACCAGCCAGCCACAGGAGCCAGAGATGTTCTGCTCTCTGGGATCTTTACACTAAGACCAGACAGCTTGCTGCAGAATGCCTCAGATTGACCAGATTTGGGCTTGTCAGCAGCCTGCAGCTGGGCTCTGTGCTGAGTCAGACAAGATGCCCGTACTGCCACACCTGACTTCCAGGCTGGGTCTGAACCCTGCTTTCTCACCTCTTTTCCAGGGTGAGCTGCTCGGTTTGGCCAAGCAGTGCGACCTGCCGCTCAGGAAGGTGCAGAGGTGGTTCCGGCGCCGGAGGAACACGGACAGACCCAGCCTGTCCAAGAAGTTCTGCGAGGCCTGGTGAGCAGCAGCACAAGCCATGAGCAGCAGGGGCCTTCCAGCAGAGCTAAGTTCTGTGGGCAGCTCACTGCTCCCCAGCCTGGCCTCCACCCCTATGCAGAGAGCATCCCAGCTCCAGCATCTCCCCAACCTGCCCTCCACTCCTATACAGAGAGCATCCTGGGTCTTCCCTGCCCCACATGGGTTGCAGCTCTTCTGCAACTCTACTGCTTCTCTGTTACTGAAACAGAGCTGCTTTTCCCCTTTATTTTCACTCCCAAGTCTCCTTTTACTCCTGTCTCACCTTATTCCTTATAGTACTTCTGGTTTTGACTTTCAAAGTCAGCATTCTGCTTTGAAACACAATTGTACCTGAAAAACTCCCTGCTGCTTTGCATCTTACTGCTTTTTGCCGCTTTGCTGCCTCCAGAATAGCCTTTCTGTTGCCTTTCCTGTGACTTCCCTTTGCCTAAGTGCAAGCTGATTCCTTCTGCTGCATCTTTTCTGCAACTGTTCTGCATGCTGTTGCTTTCAGAAGTCACAGGCAGCGGGCTAGATTGTATTCTGCCTAAAATGTATCTGTCTAAAAGTGTGTCACCAAAGGGTAGGCATCAACTTTGAGCTAATCCCCTTGTGCTCCACTTAGCACTCAATCTCTCATTCAAAACCCTTGCTTAAAACCCCTCATTTATTTGTAATATTCCAGGTAGTTGCAGCTAGCAATACAAAGTCTGTGGACAAGGAGTTGTAAAGCAATCTCCTTCATCTCCTTCCATGAAGATGCAATCTAAGTTCTCCCTGCACTTACAATAAATAGGAAACAGTAAATACTTTGGTGACTCAACTCAGTGAGGATGAAGTCCTTCCACCTGCCCTCTGTTACCAGGCAGAGTCTGTAGAAGGAATCTGTGATGTAGTAGCTTTGCACAGGTTATGTCTGGCTTGGAGCTCCTGTGGGGTGTCATTGGCAGGAAGGGTCTCGCTCTCTCTCAGAATGGAGTTACTTCTGATTTGTTATGGAGGTGTTTGGCAATGTAAGGACTGGTTTAGACCATTTGACTCCTTTGAAGGTTTCATGTGTTTTGTTTATTAACAGCTTGTTTATCCCATTGGGGTGAAATTCCTTCATTCCTTACTATGTGTGTATGATCGGGTGACCTGCCTCTGTCCACTGAACTTGGCAAGCAGTTCATATGTATTTGTATGTGGGTTTAATGTGGTTAAACCATTACCAGCTTCTGACTGAGCTCGAGCATGACATACTCATTACTTCACATGATAATGAATTAAGCATGCCCTGTCTCCAAAGCCTAGGAGCTTGGCACTGTTTGACTGCCAGTGCTGGGAAGGTTTGGAATGATTATCTGGGAGATTTTTGTATTTTCATCTTTAAAGCAGAACAATTGCTCTTTGTGACCTGGTGGATGTGCCAGTGACACGCAAAGAGCCATTCCTGTTACAGGCATGTAGATATAGGTGTACCTTAATAGTGCCATTCTTTGAAGGGGTAGGGTTGATGCACAGACCTGCAGGGGGGTGGTTAATGAATGGCGTTCTAACCTGCTCTGTTTTGTTTGTTTGTAGCTGGAGGTTTACATTTTACATCACTGCTTTCATCACTGGACTGGCTGTCCTGTACGATGTGAGTACACGAGCAGTGCCACCTGCTGTTCTACCCAGCCAGTGCCTGCAAGAACGGCAGATGGCCTTGTCAAACATGTCCTTTCAGACCTTCTCGTAGAGGTTTTCCCACCAGGTCAGTGTGTATCCTCTACACAGCACGTTTATGAGACCACACACAGGTCGGACCGTGCTTGTTTTAAATGCTCCAGCTCAAACCCAAGAGGTTTCCTCTTCTTCTGGCAAAGCAGCAGATAATTGGGGTTGTGTAAAAATACATTTCTGTGGGCTAGGAGATGGAACCCTTACCTGAGATGGAAGCTGCAGGGCCTGGTAGTGTGAGGTATCTGATACCTGCTAAGGTAAAAAACTCAGGTTTCCTTTGGAGCATGGACTGCAATTTAATCATTTCATGTATTAGTTTTCTTTTCCTTGCCCAAGGTGTGGTTGGTTCAAGCTCATACCTCTGCCTTTTCTCCAATATGATAAATAACGAGTTCTCTTAATACAAATTGAACTGCCTCAACAGGCAGAAGAGGTAATAGAAGCCATGAATAGGCTCTGATCAGTGAGCTGAGACTAGGGGCACTGGCCATCCTCTCACTGTATAAGTTCTGGCTCTCTTCCTGCACCACTTCCCCAGGTGAGCTTTACATTGGCACATTCTGAGGGGTTAAGGAATGGAAAACCTGCAGCTCCCAAGCCTGCAGGCACAAACTATGCTTGTAACTTCTCATTATGGTAACAAGTGAAGAACTTCTGAACTTAGACTGACTTCTGAGTCGGAATTTAAGGTACCCTATGAGCTACCAGAGGAGTGAAAGTATCTAAATCCCAACTGTAGTGTTCTGTGAATCCGTACATCCAAATTGAAGGCAAAATCTTGTTCTTCTGCATGTCCTGACCATTCTAGGAATAAAAGATCATCTTCAGTTGTCAGAAGAGTCTTCAGTACACGTCTTCCAATTTTCATGAGAGGGAGGCATCTACAGACAGCACCTTTAGATCCTGTAGCAGATAGCATGTTAATCTGTTAGCTAAAGTTGTAACAAAACGACTGCATTAAAAAGAAGGACAAATAATGAATGTGACAGGGCTTAGTTACATGTGACATTTCCTGACTTTTACATGTTTACTTTGTAATGCGAGCAGTATTTTAACCTGCATTTGTTCCTCTGGAGCACCCTTCTTTCTTTAGAAAACAAACAAGTATTTAAAGCTCATCTTAGCTGCTGAAAGCAGAAGACTTCTGTCCCATGAGTCAGAAATACCAGGTAGCAGTAGGAACTTACAGAACCATACAATGGTTTGGGTTGGAAGGGACCTTAAATCTCATCCAGTTCCAACCTCTGCCACGGGCAGGGACCCCTTCCACTGGAGCAGCTTGCTCCAAGCCCCTGTGTCCAACCTGGACTTGAACACTGCCAGGGATGGGGCAGCCACAGCTTCTCTGGGCACCCTGTGCCAGCGCCTCAGCACCCTCACAGGGAAGAGCTTCTACCTAAGAGCTCAGCTCAGTCTCCCCTTGGGCAGGTTCAAGCCATTCCCCTTGGCCTGTCCCTACAGGCTCTTGTCCCAAGCCCCTCTCCAGCTTTCCTGCAGCCCCTTTAGGCACTGGAGCTGCTCTAAGGTCTCCCCTTCAGGAGCCTTCTCTTCTCCAGGCTGCCCCAGCCCAGCTCTCTCAGCCTGGCTCCAGAGCAGAGTTGCTCCAGCCCTCCCAGCATCTTCATGGCTTCCTCTGGGCCTACTTATCTCAAGTAGGCCACCAGAAAACAGTTTTTCTTGCTGAGAGTAGAGGAATTATGAAATTCAGGGACCTGGGGTTCCTTTCTAGTTCAGGTAGCAGTGTGCCATAGTTTCAGAGGTTTTGCTTAGTCCTCTCTGATTCTAGATCACACTTCTCTCCTGGTTCTGTACCTGTATCTGCTGTAAATCCTACTCCTAACCCCACTTCCAGCCAGCAGGAGGCTGTGTCTACACAGCCTCATTACCACTGCTTGTAAAAGCCACTGCTCAGTGGAAGGAATATCTCCTTAGCTCTGCTATCTGGAGCCTTGTAGAACTGTCCTAGACAATTACCCTTTCAGATGCAGCATAGAATATGTTCCATCACTGCATGCTCTGATCAAATCTGGACATGGCAAAGGGTCAGAGCATGCTCTGTGCAGGAAGAACTTTGGGGGACTTTAGCTGCCAGGGTTTTATGGAAGTTTCTAAGTTGTCAGGTTCTCAACTGCCAATTTGATATGAAGTGTGAACAGAGTCGGATCTTCTCAGAGGTTCATTACTTAACAGACTGCAGCATGAGCCTCAGGTTTAGAGGAGGAACCATGTTCTTGACACACAAGTTTTCAGCGTTTCTACCACATTTAAGTGGTGGTGTCCAAACCACAGAGATTCTTAATGAAATAGTTGTAATTTAATACACTCAAAACATCACCACCCCAAACCTGTAGAACAAGTTGGTATACATCTTCTTTGAGCTATTTTATTTGGGACCAGGTTGAAAAGCCTGTGAAAGTTCAGCTCAATAGCCACAAACTGGTAATGTCACAAGCAGCTGCAAGTTCTTGTAGTGGAAACCTCTTTGCAACTGAATTCCAGACAGTGTGCTCATCTCTGCCTTTGATACAACACAGCAAGGTTTGTAGTAGTCAAAGTGAAGGAGTTAGGCGGGTGATGAGAGAAGAATTCTTCTGGCATTCTCACATTCATGTTGTGTTTTCTTTGCAGAAGCCTTGGCTTTGGGACCATAAAGAATGCTGGACAGGATATCCACAGCAGGTGAGTCCTGCAAGAGGGAAAACTGCTGTTACAAACCATGTACTGTCATTGCAAATCAGGTTATACTAATGACAAAAGAAAGAGCACTGAACTAAATTGCTCAGGACTCTGCACAGTGCTAAAGAAACACACCAAATATTCTGGATCTTCCTGGTGGTTCCTTAAATGTTCCACATGATTCAGCAAAGTGGAATTTCCTCAGCAATGTGCTTTTGCCGCAGCACAGATGACATTCCCTAAGTAACTGCCTCGTTCAGTGGAAGTATTCCCCCCTGAAGCTGCAAGAACCAGTTTGGTTGGTTTGGTTTCTGATATTCTCTGGCCTAGGAAGGGGCCTTCACTTCCAGCCCCTGCTCTGCTTTATCTGATGGGTAGTTCCCTGTCTCTCCCTCTCTCACAGCCCCTCCAGTCCTCCCTGTTCTGGTACTACATGCTGGAGCTCTCCTTCTACTGGTCACTGGTCTTCACCCTGCCCTTTGATGTGAAGAGGAAGGTGAGTGGCAAGGCTTAGAGAAGAACCAAGCACAAACGGGCTGAACGCTGGGGACAGTGATCTTCAAGAGCAGTGTATAGTGCTGCTCTGAGGTGCTGGGGGACTCTTTCCTTGTTCATTCCCAGGACTTTCCATTCCCAGTCACTGGCTTCCCTCTCCTCTGGGAAGTAGAGAATACAAACCCTGACATAGAAAGGCACAAGCTGCTGCAGAGTCCACAACCTGGGTGCACTGGTCACTGAGAGGGGGAAACAGATGGTTCTCTGCCAGTTAAGCTGCATGTGGACCTGGGTGCCAGTGCCCCACAGAGAGGGTGCTGCATGGTTACATACACTTGAGGCTGCAAATATACCCTTGTAAATAAGGAGTGATTGAGTCTCCATCAGCAAGAAGGGGGTATGAAATGATTGTGCAAACAGGTAGGAACTGGGGCACTGTTTTGTGATGGAAATGAAGCTCTCTTGATGTTGAATCATTGGCTTTTATTCTTCTGTGTTCTGATTTGTATCATCCTGGGACCATTACTGAGGGAGGGAGGGAGTGTTCTCTGTTGTAAGATCCTCAGTTTACACCATAAACTGGTCTCTTGGTTGCCTGTGTTTCTGGAATGTGTTTGGTAAAAGAGTTCTATGGGTAATAACTTATAATGCAGATTTCTTGGTCATTGGGTAGAGAGATTTAAGGTGCATTATGGATTCTGTTCACTGCTGTCCCCTTTCTCATTAGGATTTCAAGGAGCAGATAGTCCATCATGCTGCAACCATCTTCCTGATCAGCTTCTCATACTGTGCCAATTACATCCGCATTGGGACCCTGGTGATGATCATTCATGATGCTTCTGATTGCTTCCTAGAGGTGAGCTCCACAACTTACATCTCAGGCAACGGTGCTCTTCAGCCAAAGGGTGCCTTTTGACCTAGCACAGTGTGGGCCTGGCATTCAGGTGTTTCCCAGCTAACTCAGTACTGATCTGACCCAGCCTAGGGTGCCCTGCAACCAGCCAGGAAGAGGCATGATTGACTGCATGCAGATTGTGTCATATCTGGCTCTTTAGCATCCTGGAGCACGTGCAGATGCACTCACTGTCTTGGCCTGCGGTTTTATTGTTCTTTCTCCTTCCAGCCAACTAAGATATTCAATTACATGAAGTGGAAAAGAACTTGTGACAGCCTCTTTATGATCTTCTCAGCTGTTTTCCTCATCAGCCGCCTGGTCGTTTTCCCCTACATGTGAGTCTGCTGCAGGAGAGGGGAATGGAAAAGCTGCCTTCAAAGGGACAGGATCGTTCAGCTGGGTGCTGAGCCTTTTGCTGCAGCCTTTGCTTTTCAGGCCTAGAGCCATATGTCCCTGTCCTTTGGCACAGGCCACAGTGGCACATGGCTCTTGCAGCTGCCCTGGGGTAATAAAGTAGGGTGGCCTGCCTTGGAATTCATGGAGTAGTCTTAAAGTCCTGAAGAATATTGCAGAGGAGGAGTCCTTGGCTCTTATTTCTGGTGGGAAACTGGGAGTTGGCTCATGTGTGTTATATATATGAAGAAAGTGACTGCCATTAAACTTCCTCTGTGACCAGAGCTTTCTAGGGCTTAATTACAGCCATGCTAACAACATACTTTCCCTCCACTGCAATTCCTTCTCTTTTGCAGAGTGCTCTATAATACCTACTATTACTCCATGGAGATATTCCAACCCTTCTTTGGATACTACTTTGTGAATGCTCTCCTGATAATTCTGCAGCTGCTCCACATCTTCTGGTCCTGCCTAATTATTCACATGGTCTACATGTTCATCCTCAGAGGCACGGTATGGATGGGGTTGTGCATCACATGGGGAGGGGGGATCCACCTCGACTGCTTGCCATCATCCCAGCACTTGCTCCAGGATGATTTGCATTTGTAACAAAATGAAGAGATTAAGACAGGGAAGGTTGGGATTGGTGAGGGCAGTGCAGAAGTGCTTCCCCTAAAGTACAGGATTTGTAATGACAGCATTACTGAGATCACAGAATGGCTGAGGTTGGAAGGTACCTCTGGATGTTTTATCCATATTCCCTGGCTCACTTAGAAGCAGGTTGCCTGGGACCATGTCCTGACAGCTTTTGAGTATTTCCAAGGATGGAGACTCCAAAACCTCTCTGGGCATTTGTGCCAGTGCTCGGTCCCCAACTCAGTAAAGAAGTGTTTCCTGGTGTTCAAAGGGAGCCTCCTGTGCTTCAGTTTGTGCCTGTGGCCCCTTGTCCTGTCACTGGGCACTGCTGGGAAGAGCCTGGCTGCACCTTCCTTTCAGATGTTGATATACATTGATGACATCCCCCTGAGCCTTCCCTTCTCCAGGCTGAACAGTCCCAGCTCTCAGCTCTCCCTCATCCGTGATGTGCTCCAGTCCCTTCATCATCTTCATGGCCCTTCACTGGACTCTCTGCAGTATGTCCATGGCTCTCTTGTACTGAGGAGCCCAGAACTGAACCCAGAGCTTCAGGCGAGGCCTCACCAGTGCTGAGCACAAGGGAAGGATCACCCTGTCCTGCTGGCGATGCTCCTCCTAATGCAGGCCAGGGACAGCAAGGGCACTTTGCTGGCTCCTGTTCAACGTGGTGTCTCCCAGGGCTTCCAGGTTTGTCCTAGAGATACTAGTCGGCCCCCAGCATGTTCTGGTGCCCAGGGTTCCCACTTCCCCCTGTAGAACTTCACAGGGTCTCTGTCAGCCCACTTCTCCATCCTGCCATCTGGATGGCAGCACAGTCCTCTAGCATACCAGCCACTCCTCCCAGCACATTTGCTTAGGGTGCACTGCCCCATCATTAATACATGTTTCATATGGATTGTCTTGCAGTGCTGTAGATGTCTACAGGTAGATATTTCTGTCTAAACTAGCTGTCTGGACTGTTTGGAGCAGCAGAGAAGTCCAAACCATAACGCATTCAGTGTTGCACCCAGGTAGTGCTGTTCATAAGTCACAGAGCAACCCTAGATGAAAGTCTGAGATGCAGCTGTATAAACTTAAGGGAAGGGCCTCCCACTCTTTCTGACCCATCATTTGCTGTGAGACCAAACTGCTGCTCAGCATGAAATTCTTCCCAAAATCAAAGGCATGACCTAATGGCATTTAAATTGGCCACATGTGGAAGACACAGTCCAGGAGTAAAAAGTCAGTGCCTTGTGGGAGTTGACCTCATAGCCCAAAATGAGTTGTTTTATTAGTATCCAACTGGGGAATTCTGTGTTATGGGAACTGAGAAAAAGCATTAAAGGCTCATATTCATCCATATTGTCCCCTTTTCCTACTTTAAGGTTGTGCAGAGCAAATTCCTTGCAAACCAGGAAACAAGTTTCCAGGGCAGAAAATGAAGACACAGTTGAAGATGCCCTTTTACTGTTTTCTTAATCCTAATTTTACTGTTTTCCTACTTCCTGGCCAGAGCAGTGTGCTCCACCTGCAGCCATCCAGGCCAAGCATGGTCAGAAGCTATCTCCTTGTCCCTTTTAGAACACGTGAAAGAGCCTCTCCCATCCTTCTTCCAGATGTTTATGCCCAAAGCACCAGTGTGGGTCTCCTCAGTCTCCTGTCATTGTCCTCAGTCCTGTCTGTGTTTTGGTGCTGCTTCTCAACCAGTACTGTAATTTGTAATGGTTATCAGGCCAGGTTGGATGGGGGGGCTTGGAGCAAGCTGCTCTAGTGGAAGGTGTCCCTGCCTGTGGCAGGGCTTGGAATGGATGAAGTTTTAAGGTCCCTTCCAAGCCAAAACATCCCATGATTCCATGATCACAGCTAGGCTTACACTGAGACTGAAATCAAACAGACAAGAGAGAGTCTTGTTTCCAAAGGTGATGTAAAAGCTGAAAGGACACAGTAGGACTGTGTGCCAAAGGCTGAGGCAGGCATTCATCTGAGGCAGCAGATGAATGTTTGTGCTGTGGCCCAGCCAGCACTGCTTCTTGTGCAGATTTGTATTGCTTCTCATTTATGTGTTTCTTTAGATGGAAAAGGACATGAGGAGTGACACAGAAGAAAGCGACAAGGATGAAGAAAAGGTTAGGGAAAAGGAGCAAAATGGGATCACGTATTTCAGCAGCGTCACAAGCAACAGCTGTATCCAGAGGAACGGGTCTGAGCCACTGAACAACAGAACCCATCTCACCAATGGCCATGTCAAGGAGAGATAGCTACTGCGCCCGTGCTTCTGATCTGCTCTGGCGTTAGCCCAGTTCAGTGTCTTTAGAAACAGTTTTGCTTATTGTATAGATAAATTGGAGTGCAATTGCAGTATCATAGCTGAATTCCTGCTTCCTGCCAACAGAAGTGTTTAAGGTCAGTCATAGTTGGAGGAAGGTTTTGGTCTTTCTTCAATACAATCTTACTGTAGCTGGTAGCCTTGAAGCAGACAGAAAGGGATCAAAGCGGTTTGACTTGGGTTAGGCTGTGCCACGGTTGTTGTTAAATGTGTTAATCTTGAAAAATGCTTTATAAAAACAAAAAAAGAGGTGGATAAACTCTGACAGTGTTAAGTTTCAACCCCATAATGCTGTGTGAAAGGATTCTGCTTAGCCTTTACCAGCCCCTGGAGGCCCTGGCCCATTGTCACTAATGGTTATGGCTAACAAGTAAGTGTGAGACTCCAAATCTTAATGTGGGGAAACCTTTGAGAAGACACGTGCCCATACACCGAAGATTAAAACTGAGCGTAGTGAAATGGAAGCTTTGGAAACACACAGGAGAATACATTTGCTTCTCAAAGGAAATGCTGCTGTGTGCCCTATGGACCTCAGCCTCTTCTGTTACCAGCATTATTGCCACAAAAGTGGGAACTCCAAAGGCCAGATGAGAGAGTGCCCACCCAAATCATAGCTGGAAGAGCTGGAAAATGCAGACAGCTGTGTCTCAACTGTCAGGTAATCCTTTAAACCTGCCCTGGGGTACACAGCAGCAGGAGGGAGGTGACAAGAAGTCCACACTGATTGAGGTGCTCATGTTTTCACCTAGTGTGATTGGCACAGCAGGAAATGTTTACAGAGTCAGTTTGTGGCAAGAAGGGAATACATTTCCCCTGACCTCAGAGGAAAAAGGATCCAGAGAAGGTCTGCTGAACCTTATGGAATAATGCTTTAATGTGGCCTTCTAACTCTAGGGCCTTAGCCTAGATGTATCGAGAAAAGCAAGGTTAAAGCAGTAGTCCATGAAGTCATGATGCAGTTCTGATGCAGTTTGTTTAGATGTCTTAGATCTTACATCCTGTGTAGTCTTAGACTTTGGATTCTGTAATAGTTTAAAGAGTTAAATTTGTATGACATGATTTTCTGGTTTATAGATCAATTACTCTATGAAACCAAAGTATTTACAGCTTCATTGCAATGAGTGCAGGGACTTTGACTGCCAAGGCCATGCTGACACTTTCCTATATGTGTCCAGTAAGAACCAGTGCTCACTGGGGAAGGACATGCACCAAGGAAACACATGGCTTCAGAAGCACATGTTTAAAAGGCAAGTGACAGCAGAGGAGAGGGTTTTCAACAACCCACTTGGTTCACCTGAGATGTGGCTGAGAGAGCTTGGATCTGAGCTTGTATGGGCTCATCTTAGGTTTCAGTTAAAACACTCTGGATCTCTTCATAGGGGGAAAAGTGGCTCCAGTGGGGGGCATTCCAGGGCAGTAACATGCTCTGGAGAAGAGCATCTGTTCCTGCATCATCCTTTACATTTGTATTTGCTGAAGATAGTTTGTCTCTGAGGCCCTGAGCTAATTTGCTGTTTAAAGCACATGTTCTGTACCCCGTCAATGTTCCTTTAATCCGAGCCTGCAACCTTGCCTCTCCTCTGCGGGTGATGCGTGCAGGAGGGGTGGTTGTGGATTGTTTTGTACTACTGATTGTAAACAGTCTTTATAAATGACTTTTGAAAGGTTGGAGTGTCTGGGCTCTTTTGTGCTGCTTTAACCAGCAGGAGGTAACTGCCTCGGTTGCACCTTGCCGGTGGATGTGTGACAAGGAGACACATGCGGGTGCCATTGCCAAGGTCAGGACACGTGCAGCATGCACAGTGAGGGGGCTGCATACCCAGAACCTGCAGCCACACGGGGCCATGCCAACAGAGAACACCTCATTTGGCTTCAACTAGGTAAAGATGTGTTGGGTCCTGGAACAAGGGACACCTTGGGGCACCCCTAGAGCTAGGGGCAGGTTCCTTGGTATTGCCAAGGCAGTGGCAAGTCCAAGATTGCAGCACCGGGGAGATGCTTTGGACTTGCAAGAACAGGAGGAGAGGAGATGAATGTCTGTTTTTCATAGAATCATAGAATGGGTTTGGTTGGAAAGGACCTGAAGACCAACCAGTTCCAACCCCTTGCCACAAGCAGGGACACCTCACACTACACCACGTTACCCAAGGACTGCAGGGGGGGTCTCATGAGATGTGACCATAAACCCATTGGTAAGAGGTTTTGCAGAAGCCTCTTGCAGAGATGCAGGAGGGGACCTCAAGGGTGCTCTGGATTCAGGCAGCACTATTCTGCTTGAGTCGTGCTGGATGGGTTCTTTGGGATAAGGGGCATTGTTCAAGGTCACTGTGCAAACCTCTCTGTGTCATAGCTTGATCTAAACACTTTGGACATGTTCACTGCGTGGAATCAGTGAGCTGATTCCATCAGTGCTTGTACAGTGACTGCTGATTTTGTGCACTGAGATTGAGGATGACCGAATATGTGACAGCCATCTAGCTTTGAATGGGAGCTCATTCCTTCCCCCATCTCTTACTAAAAGCACGCAGTTACATACATACCAACTACTGCCAGCACTCTGGAATTTAATCTTAAACCTGAACTGATGAATGATGTGGCTGTGGGGAAATCAGTGGGTTTGTTCCCAGGAAGTCTCAAGCTTTCCTATGGCTTTGATTTGCAGAAGTGAGAAGTATCCTAATGGATACGGGTTCAATGTTCTTCTACTGCTTCTTGGTGTTTGGTCAGTGTTTGAGGCAATTTTGGCTTTTCCTCCTTGTCCTCCAGGCTCTTTGCTTGGCTGATTCACTGTGGTCGTGTCTGGCTAAGGAAGGTGCCGGTTACAAGTGGGGGGTTTTGGTTATAGAGCTCTGCTCTGAAAGCAGCAGGAAAGACTGAAGAGCAAAGCAGGAGGGCTGAAACCACACTTTATTTTTAGCACAAGATTGCCTTATCTTGTATTTACCCTGGCTGGGGGGGGTGTGGTGTGTATAATGTTTCCAGGGACCTCACAGGAGCAGAGGCTGAGTTAATTTTAACTGCCTGGCAGTCAAGGAGCATGGAGCCCGCACAAGAGCCGGAGGAGCTGGGGCCTCAGACGGAAGCGGTCGCAGACACGGTTCTGGAGGTCGGAGGGAGCCTGTTCCAGGTCAGCCGCAGGGCGCTTTCCATCCACAGCCGTTACTTCGAAGCCATGTTCTTCGGGGGAGCCCGAGAGAGCTCTCAGCACCACATCGTGATCAGAGGGGTTGAGGCCGTGCCCTTCCGGGCGCTGCTCGAGTTCACCCGCACAGCCCAAGTGCTCCTAGAGCAGGAAACCGTGACCAGCTTACTGGAAGCGGCCGATTTCTTCCAGTTTGACAGAGTGAAACTGTTGTGTGAGAAGTTCCTGGAGAGGGAGCTGCATGTCTCCAACTGCCTGGGCCTCATGGGCTACTCACAGCACTTTGCCTTCATAGAGCTGTACGCCTCGGCCATGAACGTGGCTCTCACTCACTGGGGGGATGTGGTGTGCCAGGAGGAATTCAGGGCGCTCCCCAAAGCAACGCTGCTGCAGCTCCTACAAAGCGATGAGCTCTTTGTTTCCCGGGAAGATGTGGTTTTTGACAGCGTGATGAGGTGGATCATGGAGGACCCGGCCGCACGAGAGGAGCATTTCCTGGAGCTCGTGGGCCACGTCAGGGCGGCGTTTCTGAGCCTCTCCTTCCTCGACTTCTTGGTGAAGCGCAGCAGGCGCGGCGGGGAGGCAGACGCCTTCGCCGGCCTCATCAAGAAGTTAGAGCTGTGTCCTCCACCCAGCTGGCAGAGCCCACAACTGCGTCCTCATGCAGGTCGGAGCTACGACACCCTCTATGTGCTGGGAGGAAAGCATGACAAGGACCAGCAAGAACTGTTTCTCTTTCACCCTAAAACGGGGACCTGGCAGGCTTGCTCTCCACTGCAGCGCAGGAACCTCACCCAGTATGCAGTGGCAGCAGTAGGTAACTCCCAGAGAAGTGGGACTGAGCAAATGCAGACAGAAGTTGAGGCCGAGAGCCCCAAGTGCAGGGACTTCAGTTGCTTTTGCTGTAAATGTGTGCTGTTCAGCATTGCTAAAACCTCACTCGTGTTTGTCCTTGCATTCACTCACAGAATGGTTTTGTTTTCCTTAGTCCTGGGAGTGTGTTAGACAAGGGTGAACACTGCTTTTCATTTAGCAGAAACTATTGAACCAGAGTATCATGGAATGGTTTGGGTTGGAAGGGACCTTAAGACCGTCCAGTTCCAACCCCCTGCTATGGGCAGGGACACCTCCCACCAGAGCAGCTTGCTCCAAGCACCCTCACAGGGAAGAGCTTCCTCCTAATACAGTACCTGCATCAGCTTTACCTGCAGTGAGGCCAATGACTTCACTGAAGGGGTATTTTTGGCCCTCTCTTTCATGGTGGCTTTGACAAACGGTGACTTCCAATTTATAGTTGCCATGAACTTAAACTTCCCATGGATTTTATGAAATCTCCATGCTTTGAAGACTTCCAGGACAGCTCAGTGCCGTGGCTTCCCTTATCTAGTGCTGGTGATGGTGCCATTTCAAGTGGGAGTCTGGGTACCAGATCCCGAGAGGTTCTTTGCAGGCAGTGTTTGCATGATTCTGTTGAAGAGCAGGAGCAGACTTGGGACGACATTTCCTGCAAGGACTCCAGTACTGCAATCCGATAGAGAGAGCAGTCCTTTTCTCTGCTCATCTTGCACCTCACTGGTACAGCCCAGGGAGAGATGAGAGCTGTAGCTCCTGGGAGCCATTTTTAGCCTTCCCATAACAGATACTTTCCCCTGTTGTCTTTCCAGGGAGCTTCCTGTTTGTGACAGGAGGATATTTCCGGGATGAGTTTGTATGGTATAGCGTGGATTGGGTTCTTACCTACAACTGCTTGGACAATAGCTGGCTGGAAGGCCCTGCCATGAAGAAGTCCCGCAACAGCCATTGTGCAGTAGGAGCAGGGCTCTACTTGTACGTGCTCGGAGGGAGCACAGATGAAGGGATAATCCCAGCAGTGGAACGCATGGCTTTGGTGGACTCAGAGTGGGAAAGCATGAGTCCTATGGCTCAGCCTGTGGAGAGGGGAGATGCGGTCAGCATGGGAACCAGGATCTATGTGGTCTGTGGCCTGGATGAAAACGGACACGTCTATGATGGGGTGCAGCGGCTGAACACGGAGACAGACAGCTGGGATGTCATCTCATTCTCCCCGCTTCCAAGGTAAGAGATAACCCTCTGGGGCCTGGCAGGAGAGGGGAGGTTCTAGTGCTGGTCCTGCTCCAAGAGAAATGCAGAAGTCCACCAACACGTGTATGATTCTCCATTAAACGGGACTCATGATTTGAGGACCAAGGTCCCACTGAATGCTTCAGGGCCAGGTCTTTCTGTTGATTCTGATCAAGGGTTCCTTCCCTCCCAGGTATGACCTCTGCATCACATCACTAAATGGTGCTTTATACACCATAGGAGGAGGAGCTTTTCGATTCGATGTGGAGACAGATGAATGGACCCAGGTGGATGAGGA